GTGGTGGTGGCGGTGGTTGAACGGGTGTGGTGGTAATGGCACAGTGGTGACGTTGGTGATGGTGGTGGTTGTAATGAAAGTGGTGGCTATGGTGCCTGCAATAGTGAAAGTGGTGGCGATGGTTGAAATGGTGGTAAGCGACTATAATTATGCCCAACCCCCTCCAAATTAGAGCCTCCTGAATACACCATAGCTCTAGGACACTAGAAGTAAAAGAGAAACCGCATCATTTGCAATTTCATTGTTCAACTTGGTTGAAAATACTGTAGGTGTAGCAGAGGAGTGACCCATAACGTTTAAAAAGTTTTGTTGAGAATCGAAACTTGGTCAGGGTTATAAGACCGAGGTCAGGCCTGTTATAGACATAATATAAATATTGATAAACTTAGTTTTAACAAATGAAACCCGTAGACAATACAGACAAAAACATACAATCTAATGCAGATATAGGCTATAAGTTCTAATATGAAGAGTGTTGATGTTTTTTTCCTCTTTCTTTTTTTAAAAATTAATTTTGTAACCCCCCCCCCCGCATCTCTATCTCTCTCTCTCTCTCTCTCTCTTTCGTTCGCCTCTCACTCATAATTATGTAGTATTATGGATAATTCATGTTCATGATAGCAGAATTATGAACTTGTTACAACCATCAGATATGCTAATATCCTGTCCACGAAAAGAGGGGTATCGTGCGGTATGAATTTGCATGTTTTAAACGGGTTTGCTGAAAATAAAAGGCGTTCTTAATGTCTGATTGGATGTGCCCATAAATCATAACACTGTTTAAAAACAAGCACATGAAATGTATTTTGTTGCGAGGCTGTGTATGATGGTGTATCCAAAACAAAACCTCGAGGAGTCATCGAAAACAGCAAAAAGAGTCCTTGCACGATCCAACCTTTGTGACCTACCCTTGACCTTGATCGCGGGACCAGACATGTTCTGAAACCCATCCTGTTTCCCGCTGGCCTAAAATTTGGTTCGGGTCAAAACCAAAATAAGGTTTCAAACCTATTCTATGCAAATCAGCTAACTTTCCGGTTTGGCAAGGTAACGAGCATGTTCATAGCTATTTCATCGTTTTTGTCTCTGCATAATTGATATTGTGGCAGTGGCATAGCTACGAGTAGAGAATACACGGGATGGGGTGGGAGGCGGAGAAAGAGAAAGAGAGAGAGAGAGAGAGAGAGAGAGAGAGAGAGAGAGAGAGGAAGAAGAGAGAGAAATAAAGAAAAGGAAAAAGGGGAAGAGAGAATTAGAAAGATAGAAAGAAAAAGAAAGGTACGTAGAGAGAGAGAGAGAGCGAGAGAAAGAGAGAGAGAGAGAGAGAGAGAGAGAAAGGGGGGGGGGATACAATCAAGAGAAAAGAATAGGGAGAAAGAAAGAAAGATAGATCGATAGATATTAATTAGGTATAATATATAGGCCTATAATTATATATATTATATATATATAGAGAGAGAGAGAGAGGTGAATAAGGGTGGAAAGAACACCCCTCCAACACCCCCTTCCCTTTTCTCGATGAGCCCCTTTTTAACGTTGCATGTTAAGATCGAAATATGCTTCCCCCTCTCCCCCCCCCCCCCCCCCCCCTCAACAAGCTTGTCCCTTAATGTCTGGATATAGGGTTATGTCACGGGCTTTGTTTTTATAGTTCAGTTGTACTTTTTTTACCGAACAAAATATTATCGTTGTAATCCATGTTTCACAGACGAGTGCTAATGTAAAGAGGGAATTTTGAGCCACTTAACTCGCATGTTTACAAGAGAAAGAAAACTATAAATTAAAGGATAGGATGGATGTAGATAAGCAATGGTTCCGTTAATGATTTAATTAGTTGGAAATGTTTGTCAGAGCTATTTTTATCGATAAATTTGAATTGCGACAATTTTTTCCTCACATCTTTATCGTCACCAATGACCTATCAATCATTTATTCCTTTTTTAATAATCATTAGATCGAGCAATTAAAAAAATAACATTGTTGATACCAATGCAACACCAAATATCTTATCACGTTAATCTACGGATAAGTCAAATAAATCATTCATTCATTCAATCAATTAATCTTTCATTAATTCATTCATTAATTCAATCGTTATATCAATCGGTCTTCTAATCATTCAATCAATCTTTCATTCATTCATTAATTTAATCTTTCAATCAATCATTCATTTAATCAATCCATCTTTCATTCATTCAATCAATCAATCTTTCATTCATTCAATCTTTCAATCAATCTTTCATTAATTCATTCATTCATTCATTCATTCAATCAATCTTTCATTCATTCATTTATTCAATCGTTATATCAATCGGTCTTCCAATCAATCAATCAATCATTCATTCATTCATTCATTCAATCAATCTTTCATTTATTCATTTATTCAATCGTTATATCAATCGGTTTTCCAATCATTCAATCAATCAACCAATCTGTTATTCATTAACTCAATATTTCAGTCAATCGATCCTTCAATCAATCAATCAGTAAATGAATAAATTATTCACTCGCTAGCTCCATAAATCAGTCATTCAATCAATCACCCAACCAATCATTAATTCATTAACTCAATCTTTCATTCAATCAATCAACCAATCATTAATTCATTAACTCAATCGTTCAATCAATCAATCCTCCCATCATTCCTAGTCAATAAATAAATAAATAAGATATTAATTCGCTCGCTCAATAAATCAGTCATTCAATCAATTAATAAATAAATTATTCATTCGCTCGCTCAATAAATCAACCAATCTTTAATTCATTAACTCAATATTTCAGTCAATCGATCCTCCAATCAATAAATCAGTAAATGAATTTATCATTTACTCGCTAGCTCAATAAATCAATAAATCAATCAATCTTTCAATCCTCCTATCAAATCAATGAATGATGCATTCTCTTGCTCGCTCAAAAAATCTATCACTCAAGCAAGCAAGCACTCAATCAACCAATCCTCCAATCATTCAATCAATAAATGAATAAATTATTCACTCATTCAAGCACTCACTCAAACAATCAACCAATCACAGTCCAATTAATCAACCAACCAATCATCGTCAACAACTAATCTATCTATATTAAATAAGGCAAAAACGTCAGACAAATAGTCTTCAGTGTACATTTTATCGTCATATTTTATTGCAGATAGGCCTATACATTCATAACATAAACAAAAATACAAACAGCACAATAATAACTGAATATAATTATGATATATCGTTTTTGCGAGATTGCAAGATACCTCAATACCTGAATGAGGTTTGAATAATCAAGTACACTCCAAACTTGGAAATATCCTTCATAAATAAAGAGAAAACGTCATAAATAATATGGCTGGTAATAATCATAATTATGCGCTCTGTTGGCATTCAAAGTTAAACTTTGCGGCTTCATCATTTTCATCTTCATCCGTATTTCATCTATCGGAATCGGGTCTAATAGAATGTATCTTTTCCAGCGATCTCCTAAAGTCTGCTTATCTAAAGCACACTTCACTAAATAATCTCGACCCACCTGCAATCCAGCACCATTCATTAATTGCCTCAATTTGTCACAGGACGAATCATTTCAAAGCATTAAACATAATAATTTGCAAAATCAAAGCCTCAACTGTCGACGACTATTGCAAATACAAGAGTTGTAATCGTTTTTTTGACAAAATACAAAGTTACTATATTATCAACGTTATTTCGTAGACAATTTTTTCTTAATAATTATCAACAAAAATACAGCTAGGAAAAAACTCAAATTTCGAATACCCAGCGGTCGTTATTAAAACTAAAAATAAGAATCATTGCCTAAAATAAGTTGTCTACTAATTGCGGAAAGGAAAATGTGCAGCAATATAGACTATATTATGTACATTTACACAATTTTCCAGTCCTTACATTAACTACAAAATATCTATCAAAATGCTAGCCTGAGCATCTTTTACTATGTATCTATAAGTTGTTCCTACAAAATCGACGACAGGCGTCTACGAATCTACTTCAGTTAGGTAAAGGCACGGTGCTTCAATCTAATTTGGCGTGAGAACAAAATGGCGACCGCTTCAAAACGCATATATTTGGTTAAGCTTGGCAATCTAAAAGAAACAAATAGTCTCCAAAGGAATGGTAATGCTTCACCTTCAAAGTAAAATGTTTAAATTCATTCCACTTTTCAGGTGCTTTGCGGTTCAATACATGCTATTTGAAAGGAGGACACAAGGATATAATTAAGGGAATTTGTGTCTGTACTAAATAAAGTGTGCCAAATTGTGTTTTAAAGGGGGGGGGGCGCCCCTCATACCCCTGGATTCTCGATTCTCCATTTGTTGACTGACACTACCTTTTAAGTTATATGCAATAAATAAAATGCTCATAAAAATCCAACAATATATGTTGTTGTAATGAACCCTGTGAAACATCTCATCTTAAATGATCTTCATTCGGTATTATTTTCTTTTATACTTAACACTCAGAATTGCAATAACACAATGTGCTGTTGAGTTTCTTTGTACTATATTCACTGCTCGAGTTCTTCTTTTATGCATATTTGACTTTTGTTGTGAATAAACTTAGGATTAATTTACTCCTCTCACAAAAAGATAAAATTGCATTATTCTCATAGAATAATAAATATGAACTAAATCAATCTGTAATGTAACTACTTGTGTTACTACTACTTTTCTAAGCTACTACTTAACTACCAGTAAAATATATATATATCTTTGTATCAAACCTATAGGCTATGCATATTCAGGACTCGTGATGTTTTAAACTGACCAAAATATATATAGAAACAAATATTTCTCATATAAATATATTTATAACATGTAGAAATAATGTCACATTGGTACACAATAAGTTGATATTTGGTCTACGACATCCCAGGAAAATGACATCAATAGCATTGCAGAAATATGTTGATGCACAAGATTTGCAACAACAACAAAACAACAAAAAACAGTGTTTTCCCCAACCGAAAACAAATAAAGCTACGACATACATTAGCAAGGTGTCATTTTGTAAATGAAACAATAACAAAAAATCCAGACAAATCACACAATAATGAACGGGGGTAATTTAAGAAAAGAAAAGTAAAACATCGAGCATCAAAGGAAGAAAACACTGATGAATTCAAACTGCACAAGATGTATGTTCAGAACCACGAAAGGATCAACTCTGTGTAAAAGTATATGAGTTAATGCACTTCTGGCTCTAAACAGACCTTAATGGTTAACAATAATGCAGGGATCAGAGAACTGAACAAAACAGATTTTAAGAGAGGAAAGAGTAGGAAAAAACAACATTATCGAATTAAAATGATACACTAATCACACCATGACCAATAAAGGATATTTCAGTCAGGCAAAAAAAAAAAAAAAAAGAGAGAAAAGAAAAGCAGACTGAAAGAGAACAGTGATATTTCATGTGATATACTGTTGCATGCACTAAAATCACAAATGATAATTAAGTTAGCAGTTGAAAAGTTTTGATGAGTGAAATTTTAATTACGGTGGATTAAAACTTTAAACATACTAGTTACACCTTTGTAGTGTTGGCTTCAGCATGAGGTGTATGCATGTTTAAATTGTCTATCGTTTTGAAAATTACATGTAGTTTACCTAATTCTCAGTCTCAACAAAAACTGAGTAAGCCTTTTCTCGAGTCCAAGATGATTTTTCATTTGACTGATTTGAAGGTACTTATATTAAATGACTGAAATGTGGTCATGGTATGAATCAGCTGTATCATTTTAAAATGAGGAAAAGAATAGTATATTCTAGGACAGAAAAAAAATCCACACGGTCATAACATAAAACCATGCATATATAAACAGAAAATAGAAACACAGACTTCACAGACATAAAAAAAACATGATCACGGGCTGAAAAAAAAATCGTGATCACAGGTTGAAAAAAAAATTGACACTCAGTTTTCATAAGGGATGCTTGTTATAGGAATATCAAGCAATGAAAGGGGAACAAAACACTGATCGATCGTTGGAATTTTACCGTTTTCGTGTCTATATGCTGTACATGTCCAAGATTATGGAGAAATAGAAAAAATGGAAAGAGAGAGAGTTATTAACATTATTATCAATAAACATTCACATTCACAATCATACAAATTCTTTTTGTATAAAGGAAAATGCTAGATATAATTCCATAATTCGAGGTATTTCAGACTAACATGCTAATTCATATCATTTGTTGCACATCTCGGTAACAAATCGTATGCAAAGGAATTTTGGTCCGTCATTGGTATTTATTTCAAGACCTCAAAATGGAAAAACAATTTGTCTTTGGTTTTGCAACCTTTCTTCACAGAAGTCATAATAAAATGTTTTGTCTGGCATAAGCTGCAAAATCGTATTTACAGTCGGTAGGTAGGCTAAGCCTGATCTTTCATCTTTTAAGGACATCATACAACTGAAACCTTGAGGTCTACTACTAAGATTTCCTGCTCTCCTTCAAAGACAACAGTATGATAAGGTAATTTGGTGTTGATTTCCCCCGTACCTTTAAGCGATTTGAAGTCCTGAATGTCTTTCTCGCTCGTAGGGAGTGGTGGTTTTTCGTAATAATTTTCCTTGTCCTCCTCCTTTTTGTGAGGCATGCAATGTCCCATGTAGGATAAGATCACGGGTAGGAGCATGAGTCCGTGGTAGGCTCCAAAAATCATGACGAGGAACAGCGTCTTAAAGAAGATGCGAAAGACGTAGACAGGCGCGGTTGATAGGACGGAGATTGCGAGGATCGACGAAAGCGCTCCTTGAAGGATGGGCATGCCGAGGGCTCGCAATGCTGAAATGGCGCGATCATTCGGTTCGTCCTTTGGCGCGATGACGAACGCGTACGTGATGTGCGCGGAGAAATCCACGCTGAACCCTATGCAGAGGATAATGTTTAGCATAGAGATAGGGTCAAGTGGGACGTCCCACAGTGACATGTACCCTATGACCCCTGTATCTATGGAGATGACACAGAATGTTACCCATAATGCACAGACAGGATGAGGTATCATCACTAAGGCAACGAAAAACATGCACGCTATCGCGATGCCTAGAGTTTGAAGGGTGTTTGGCAAAACCCCAATGTATTGATCGTAAACAATAAATGCTGGGTTGAATACTGTGAGATTAAACTCGCTAGCTTCGGCAATGTCCCGAGCCTCGATCATCATGTCGCCCTCCCGAGTTGTGTTCATCATATCCTTTGACATGACAAGGAAACGTGACGCATCAATGTCTGTAGCTACTCCATTCTCATCCTTCCTAAAATTAATATCCAATGAATACTGCTTAAACATTGGTTGCGTCAGGAACTGATTTTGCAGGACGGTAACGAAAGTTGTTTTATCCACCTCTGTTGTGCCTACGGCCTGTTGCAGAAACATCAGGTACATTCGCAACCACGATTCCGTCAACTGCTTCCCGTAGATGTAGTCGCTTTCCTCAAATGTTTGGGTCAGGTCCTCAATCTTCTGCTGCGTCTCAGGGTTCCAGTATTCCACGTCGTCCTGCATGATGATGCTGACAACGGGGCCGAACCTCTTGAAGTACTCGTCTTCGTAGCTGTAGTAGACGAACGCCGGTGAGTCGTCACGGGCCAGGCTGTTCAGTTGCAGCCCCTGCGTGATGTGGAAGAGACCGTAGATGGCGCCGGCCAGGTACCCCAGGTACGTCAGGACGATCAGGATCTTACAGGGGCTCTTCATGATAAAGGGTCCGAACTGTTCACCGAAGAACTTCATGATGCCATGCTCCATGTCAGCGGCCTTGGTCCGGGTCGTCTTTGAGACGCCTCCCGCGCAGAAGATCTGGTAGAACTTGTTTGGCGCTTCCTCCCTAGGCACAACCTAGACAGATAAATGGAAAATAATCACTAAATGAAAGGAGGTGTACTACAAAGTAGCAGTCAGTCTAAAAAGTACTGAAAGGATGGTTGAGCAAATCTCACGCTTCCATAGAAAAACATTTCAAAACTTTTAAAGGGTTACCGGTACTTTTAGGTCTCTGCACATACAATGGCTACCAAAAAGAGAATTGTCCAAATTACCATGTTCACTTTGGGTCATGACCTTTTATTCATCCTTGGACCCTCACATCGGCTCCTCACTTAGAGCCGCAACCCTACCTCTATCCCTTTAAAGCCCCACTGTACCACTTGTAGCTACTTGCTCCCTCTATATAGCAAACAATGTCTAAGTGGTGACCATTGGTATCCCCGTGATCCTCTCTTTGTTATGTTAATTGAGAGATGAGTTGATGAGATAGCCACCTGTCAGTGACCATGCAGGGAGGTCTAATGGGACCCTATTTCTTTCTCACCTTCTTGCATGCATAGCAATGCATATTGTTGGCCTCCCTCTCTCCAATGTAGGCCATGCAGGCTCCAAAGAACGACAGCTGGTAGAAATAGACGAAGAGCATGGCCACGCCCGCGTAGATACAGAAGGTCCTCACCCCGGGCAGGGAGGTGGTGGCACCGATGATGAAGGCGAGCATGTCCGTCAGGTTGGTGATGGTGATGGAGACGGCAGCCTCAGAGAAGGTGCGTGCCATGCGCTCCTCGGTGGGGACGTAGATGCTGAGCTGACGCCACCCGGCGATCATGATGAACATGTTGTCGACTCCAACACCTGGGGGAATGAGAAAGAACGCAAATATGAATAATTTTACCGACATACTGTAAGAACAAAGCATTTATTCAAATTTTGGTGAGCTACTGTGGTATGGGGAGACAATGTGAATATTATTTCATTGTCTTCAACCCCTGATATACACTTAAGAGGACTATTCTATTATTTGTTCATGTAACAGACGACTCAAAAGAAAATGAGGAGATCAAATATTACTACACTTCAGTAAAAGGTGAAGGAATTTTGACAATAACTGAGGATGATAACTATATATTGGGAAATACGAAACTCAGTGGAAGAAATGAGAAAAATGCTTCGTTAACTTGTGACACTAAAGACTAGATCATGCTCGACTGAGTCTTAATGATGATGAATGAAGTCATGAGGAAAATAAAATAAACCTACCAAGGACAAGGAAGGGCATGAGTGAGACAATCTCGTTGAACTTGAGCCCGCAGTAGCTGAGAAGTCCGACAGCTGAGATGACTGCAAACACCGCAGACAGGACCCCCAGGAACCCTAACCATGGCTTACTCAGAACCCAGTCCCTCATGATACAGGAGAGAACAGCAAATATGATCATCATGCAAAACGTGGCAGCGAAGCGTGGGACGATATGGATGCTGGCCTCTGTGATCTCGTGTGAGAGTGAGCGAGACGTGCTCCGGGCCAGCTTGATGTGCTTCATCTCCAGTGCAGATTTCTCGATGAGCTTGTCGAAGACCTTCTCCCAGTCCTCGGCCAGGTGGTCCTTCTCTTTGGTGCCAGTAGAGAGAGTGTAGATCAGTAGCACGTTCTCGGCGCTTTCGACGACATCGGTGTCGTCGACGAACTTGACCCCACCGAGGTTGGGACCAATAAAAAGAGGATACTGCGGGGTTTCGAAGTATGGGTAGGTCAGGTTGATATGGTCAAACGCGGCTACGTTCTCACGGTAGATCGTCATGATGTTGTTGTCCAAGCAGCGTCCGAGCCACTTCATGCAGAGGGTGTCGTAGTTATCCAGGGTTCCGTTGTCGTGGAGACTGATGGTCCGGATCTTCTCGTCCAGCTTCACGATCTCCTCGAACATCTCCTGCTTCATGATGTTGTCGCCCTCTGCTGGCAAGATGATCAGTCTACCGCGCCGGATGAAGAGGTCGAGCTCGCGATTCGGCAGAAACTCCTCCCCCTCGTCTCCGGTCATGAAGAGTTCCTTCGTCGTCGCGCGATCGTCGCGGCTCTGGCTGTTCTCCGGGGTAAAGAGGTACTCTACGTTATCGTCGATGACGAAATGCGTAAATCCCGTCATCAAGAACGTCACCATGGCGAGCGGTACGAGCAAGAAGATAAGCCGGTGCTTGTGCACCTGGCGTCCAAGTTTGTAGAACACGCCGCTGATGCAGCGATCAACGCAGTCAAACTTGGCCATGACGCTGAGTGATTGGTAATCAAGACAAATAATTCACAGAAGTTGAAATGATGGCTTTAAGTGTGTCACCTTTCCCCTCGTGAGGCGTAGTTGGAATGTAGCATCAGAGTTTGGTCTGGTAGTTGGTGATGATGCAAATGATTTGAGGGTCAACAAGATCTGTGTCAAGATAAAACCAAACAAAAATTGATTAAAATCTAAAATCAACAGCGTGAAAGATCTTCTACACAACCAAATGAGATACTCCCACTTTTATATGTAAGAATTTCTTTCCTTTGACTTGCAGGGGCATTTGAATCAATACAATTCTTGTTCTGTTTTGTTTTACCTTTATTTCAGTTTTGTTTGTTTTTTGCTTTGAAAAAAATCTCAAACCAATAGAGGGGGAGACAAGAAAAGGGTGCAATATCCTATTAAAACTGTAGTCAATTAAATTAGGGAATCCATAACAATTCTCTGACTGAATATTTTCATTTAATTATCATCTCCCCCCACCCCCCCCCCCCCCCAAACACTTATTAGAATCCAGGTTATTGAAACTCGAGCCCCATTTTACTAAATATACGATTTACAAGAGACGTGTCAAATGAACATGAATCACAATTCAGACTATAAATCCCTTCTGATCCACTTGCCTTCTCCAATCTCTTTCAAGAAGGTATTACATTGAAATCATGACTAAGCCGACCACAGAGATCAAACTACACGAACAGGCAGTCACAGCCAGGATGAGCCTCATTTTTTCCCTCAACTTAATCATTCATATTTCCTCCTTGAAAGGCCAGCCAGGCAGGTAGGCATCTCATCTCATTTCCCCAGCCACAACAAAGCGGGTGAACAAACTTTCCCTCATACATATTCATGCAGCACTGCCCCAGCCCCCACCCCCTTCATCAATATTCATTAAGACAAGAGAAGTCCTCTCATGGATATGTATCAGAGTTTCCCACTTCTGGAAGCTGATTGGCTGATGGGACTCGGCAACCAGCAATCACTTTCTCTGATTTGCTGGCTGGCGAGGGTTCATATGGGTCAACAAACTTTGGCAGCTGTAAGCCTCACAAGGGACTGTGACTTCATCTCTCGGTTTGATAAACAATGAACAAAGATTTCTAATATTAATCAGATTTTTTTGTACAATTTTGTCTCATAATAAAATCTGAGTCTGAGAAAAAAGCAACAACCAACAACAACTAAAAATCCAAAATAATGGTAATAAGGTATAGATAACATCTTTATTAACACAATTTGAATTCTTTGCTGCCATTATCCCTTTCTCAATAAGTCATCAATCTTGAATATGAACCGAACATGAACCTGAATTTGCAGCTTCAGTTCACAAGTTGAAATACAAAGAAGAAAAAAAATCAATCAAATGATTGAAACTTGGAAGTACCACTTGGAAATTAAAGATGACATGATGAACCATGTCTTTTCAACAGCTGAAATATCAAAGGGTGAAAGGCAACCCATGGTAAATATATATTTAAATAACAATAATATAGACCCTAATGAATGCTAGTCATCGACTGCACATTAATAGGAGTGTACACTTGACTATCTATACACAATCTGTCATACACAGCCATAGGCCCTACATGTACACACAATACAATGGATGCTGGGGAGAAATACAACACACCTAAAACCCATTAATATTGTCATATTGTCCCCCATTACGATGAGATCATGAGAATATATTAAATATTTCTCAATGTCGACCAGACTGGGTCGACCACCATGTGGTGCATTTGCGTAAGCGGAAACGCTTGAGCAAGAAATCAATAATTACGTGGTACTATTATAAATTTATAGACAATTCCATCTTTTTTCCCCCTCTGATATTTGATGAATGTACGCACATAGAATATTGTATGACGAACACAGCTGTTTGCTCGCTTGCACCCCTCCCTCTCTTTCTCTCTCCCTCTGCCTATAAATGTAATGTCTATACACATTGTTTTCTGTCTGAAGTGTGTGCATCTCTCTCTCTCTCTCTCTCTCTCTCTCTCTCTCTCTCTCTCTCACACACTCTCTCTCTCCTATCTTTCCATTTTCTACAACCTAGATCTTTGTCTATAAGTCTATTATCATCTTTAAATGAATTAGTTTATGAAATAACAATATTTTGTTGGTTTTCAAGCTTTCTTTTGTCAATTTGTCTCTTTGTATTTTTCATCAAACCTCTAATAACATAGCACAATCGTAGCATATACGTTTGGGTTAGTTTTCCAATTAGACGTGTTTCATAACTCGATCCATGAAAAGGGTGGAGTCTAATTCTATTGTCTAAATCCTAATGTCATGAAAATATACAGAAACTAAGGCACAACGACCCGCAAAAATCTGCGCCTTTATTCACTCGAGTGATTTCCCACAAAGTCTGTTTTTTGAGATCAAACCAAGCATGTGTCATGCCATTATTCATGCCATTATTGTTATTTAATCACACATTTAGACAGGAGGCACAAAAAGAGGAACATTTCTGCCAATTCAGCTCAATGTTCACAGTTTATAAGCAGCTTTTGATGAAGGTGAAAAGAAAACAGTTATGTATTTAAGCAGGAGGTGAGTTTTTCGCCATAGAAATATGGGGCTCTCCCCCCCCCCCCTCTTTTACATCATGGACCTATACTACATGCTTACGCTCTCTCTACTAGTGAGTCCACCTATATTATCAGTTACTTCCCCTTCGTTTTTTCCTTGACAGTTGACACTGTATATTTTAGTATCAGTATACCAGTATTCAAGGTGTTTTTCAGTCATCAGGTTCAATATCTGCTTTTTATCTGAATGTAGGAAATGACTAACATCTGTACCTCCCCCGCTGCATGTGCTTAGTCAGGAAAAACAGTTTTAGCAAAACACAAGCACTAATGAAACAAAAGTTGGAAGTTTAAGGAACTTTTTAGCTTGACCGAACAATAAATTAACTGAATTTACCAAGAAATGTGTCATGCCGCAAAACCAATTTCTGTCAAGTTTTTCTCTTTTGTTTCAATGGAACCCGATTTGTCCAACATCATGAGATGCTTCTTACAAATACAATACTTGTTGTTTGCGACCCAACATTAATATACTCAGGCAAAGTTTGCTGTGCTTTATGAACATAATTAATGCCCAGGTGAGGGTTAGGGTTAATTTTAGGATGAGGGTTATATTCAGGCCTTATATAATTTTATATGGTTGCAATTTGCTTTTCAATTAGGTTTAGGTTTAGGGTTAAGGCAAGGTGTAGTATCTAGTCCAAAGCTGAAATTAGAAATTCCACTAATGAGGGGAATTGATTGTGGAGCAATAGTCGATGGAGCGTTGTTCATAGACCCTATTCACTATCTTTACTTTACAGTTACAGGTCATTCAGACCTGTACATGATCAGACTCAGAGGTAGATAAATGGAACAGTTTTGAAATTGAAAGAGACTGTTAGGAGAGCACTTTTTCCCCATCGGTAAATGCAAACAATAGCCGTCTGACCTCTTTCACCCAGACCAGAGATTCGTGACAACATGTGACATATCACTCTTCGGGTGTGATGTGGCCTCCGAACTTTGTGAAGGTTTGTGAAGGACGCACTTCAGCAGAATTGGCAAGGGCATTCTGGGCTGTCGTTTTCATGACACATTTAAGAACCCATGGACCTGTGGCGATTGTGACAAACAGGCAGCCAAGCCATTGCCAAGTGTGCTCTAGAACTTATTTTGGGACATTGCACTTCTGTTCTTCCAGGGTTGCACAGGGCGATCCAAGTTATTGAGAAAGGGGGGGGGGGGGGGGAATTCGCAAACGATAACTGTATCTTGATATAGTGAATTTATTATAGCTTCAAGATGCGAGTATCCAACCTTAAAAAGGCCCCCTTGATACACAGATGGGTGAGGTGTAGTATATCCCATAACCATGAGACACAATGGCACTTTTCCTCACTTATTACATCCAAAAATGAATTATCTTGATATAATGACTATCAATTAATGATGTTATTTCTGGCATCATTACCATTAGTCATACTGAGTTCAGGAAAAATGTCATTCATGGAACAACTATATGAATAAATGTCACAACGCGGAGACCAAAAGGAATAGAGGTGAAAGATAGAACTTTGGAATAGAAGGCAATGCCTGGCGAGAGACTAGTGATAATGCCAGCTAGATGCCTTGCATAGGTTGCATACTGGCTCAGGTTTTGCCATTGACTGTCAATATAGATTGGTGTGAATCTGGAACAAGATATGGGGGCAGCATCACATTGGCATCTATCAAATGGCATGCAAATTAAGTTTGAACAGAACTAGGTAAGCAGACCTACATGTACAGAAACAGTACACTAAACAAAGGTTTCAGAGATCACTGAAGTGGTGTACTAAATGAACACGATAGGGCCCAAGAGTTTACCTTGGAGAAATGTCAGGGTTTTGTTTCATTCAGGAGTCTTCGCGTCATCAAGCCTATATGTAGATACATGGGAAAGCCATACAGGTTAAGTGAGATCGAGAGAAAGAAGTAGAGCTTGTGTGCGTAAGCGAAAGACAAACCACGGATCTAAATAGGTTCATGGATTTGTATTTACACCTATAAAATATAATTTGTTCTTTATCATGAAAACTATCATCACATTTCTTTCAATTCATAAGCATAAAAGGTCTTCCTCTCCCACACTGTTTTCCAAGTGATAAAGCTTTGTCCAAATTGAAACCAGATCAACCTCACCAAAATAGGAAAGAATGCATGTAGTGGGATTCAAGAACAAGGATCTGTTGTTCAGTTCTTACTGGCTTTCCATTTTTGGAGATGAAAACCAGACACAAAGTCAGCCTCTTTCTAATAAATAAACCAGCCGTGAACTCGCCCACCTCTGCCCACAACCAGAATCCAAATTCGGCACTGAACTTTAGAGAGATCACAGTGGGAGTTGTCCAGAATTTACAGCCAGCAACCTGGCTTTAGTTAAATCATGGACCTTCTAGTAGGGTCCATGGTTAAATGAATGTCAATGCATTCAATTTCTTCACTGATCGTGATCCTGAAATTGGCAATGCGTGTATAAACTCGGAATGAACCCTCTCGCTCCCGACAGTAGGCCAGACATGAATTAAGTCGAGCAACTGGATCAGGTTTCCTTCAACTTTTTTTAAAACCAAAATGATGATCCCTCTTGGC